AGAAGTTAACACATGAAAAAGCTAAGAGGATTCAACATCTGTTACATAAATGATAACTTACACCTACTTGGCTCCGCCCCCGACATCTACCCTCTAATAGCATATGGGTACTCACGAATACATAGTTGGGGTGGATCGAGTTCATCTAAATCTAGGAGCTAAAGCTCAAACTCCGTATATGTGCTAACAATCCATTAATGTTTAAATCCTGAATCTGCCTATGATTTCGTCTTCATCTATTTCTCCTCCCAAGAAAATTACTCCCATTGTCTCATTTTATATGAGGTACTTTGACTCGGCACGAAGTTTAAGAAAGGAAGAAAGACTTTTAAAACTTGTGGTATAAAACGAATGATAGAAATTTGTGTAGCTATAAATCATTTCATTAAGGATAAAATGAACATTTTAAAGTTAAATTGTTACTTGATATAAAAATATGTCATTTTTTTGAGACCGACTAAAAAGAAAAATAAGTCATATAAATTGAGACAGAGGAAGTAATAACATAGGAACCTAGAAGGGACCTTATGGTTCAAAGGATAAAGTGTGAATAAAGCAAAATCAAAATATATATTTACACTATATATTCAATTAATATTTTATTAAAAAAATATACTTAGTGGGTCTAATCAAAGTGGACAACTAAAACAGAAACACATTTTTGGCATGTGGCCTGTGGGGTTAAAATACCTTGGGAACTTTCCACTTTTGTTTAATGATTTTTTATTGGGTCATAGATCTAAAAAACAACTTTTTTCTTCAATTGTTTTCACACATTAGTACTAACAAACAAGATGTATTTAGTAATATTATGAAAGTTACCCAAAAGGGAAAGTGAAACAAACAAATCATGTGACCATGAGGTCAGAGGTTCGAGTTGTAGAAATAACCCCTATAAAAATGCAGCATGAGATTGCATACGAACCCTTGTGATCCTACCCTTTCCCGAATCCCGCATACAACATAAGCTTAGTGTACCGAGCTGTAGTTTTTAATGAAAGTGACCGTGGCATGATACTATAGTTTACAATCTTGAAACCCTAGCTATAAATATCTTAAATAGAAAAAAAAATTCGAATATCCCCCCAAAATCCTTATAATAGCTAATCCTTAAATACAATTGTTATTTATATATGGCTACTATATCATAGTGTATACCAATCTATGCATTATTTATTATTCGTATATTGTGATACGAGTAGTTCAATTGATTAACTATCTGAACTTTTATTTTGTTTGCCCCACGCGACTCATATTATTATTTAATGTGTTACAATTTCTGTATAACTAAATCATCAATCACATCATGATCCCTTAATAGACATCAATACCCCCCCCCCCCCAATCCCCCCCAAACCAAAAAAAACCCATAGTACAAAACACAGTGTTGAAGATATTCATTATTGGTAAGATAAAAGATCTACCTCCCTTGCTCGTACTTATTCACGTTCGAGTTTTGAAAATTTTATTATTAATTAAAAAACTACTAGAAGTGGTATAAATCTTACAAAAACAAATAAACAAAGATAACAAATAGTGTAGAGAGTTTCAATCCTCAAATCTTAAGCTCAATACAAGCTAAAAAACTAATAAAAAAATGCACATTAAAGTACAATAAAAATCAAGAAAATAAAACTTAGGGATACCTTTTTCTTGATTATTTTTTTCAGCTCCACCAAGATTTTAAGTCTCTCAAGAACATGTCATCAAAACCAAAAAAAAAAACCAAAATTAAAATTAGAAAACAAAGTTTTTTTTTTCTTTTGGTGCAAGAAGAAGAACAAAAGAACAAAACCAAAGAAGATACTATGTATTCTCCTTCATTTTGGTCACATTTTTTCTATTTAAAAGACTCAGTTTTTTTGTTTTTGTCTCTGAATTTTTCAGGGGGGGTTGGGGGGGGGGGGTTAAGTGGGGTCCATTTTAGAAGATGTAAGCAAAAGGGGTGAAAAATTGTAGTACATAGAAATAATTTTGGGAAGTCTTATAAAAAACCAATACTAAAAATAGGAAATTTTGGTCATGCATGGAGAGATCGACACGTATTAGACAGGTGTTATTTTGGTAATCGTTAAAATTGGGGTCTTACTTCACCCTACTTCTCCACGTGTCCCTTTTTTATTTTTATTCTTATTAAAGGGTTAAAAAAAGTTCATGTTTTAAAATAATACTTTGCATGCTTTCACTTTTCATCTTTTCACTTATAGGGTCCTTATCCTAGTATAGGTAGTAGGAGTTTAGAGCATATTTGGTTTGACGGTCAAAAATTATTTATTTTGAGATTATTATTTTTTTTATAGAAATAAGTATTTTTGAGAAAAAAATAATTTATGTTGATTAGTTTGTTTGAGATCATTGTATCTAAAATTGTTGTATTTGAGTCAATAATCTTTTAAAAATAATTATTTTATTTTTATGAGTTAGTGGTGAAGTTTGAGTACATTGTATTCTCTTCAAACTTCATCTGTGTGATTTCACTGAGTTTGTTGTTGTTATTATCAGTGACATACTTGAGGGGTATTGACTTCGACACCCCTTCATCAGAAAATTATATTATATAACTAGGTAAAAATATATTTTTAATGTGTATATTACTAACATTTTTTTATCTTTTACACGATTTTACTTCTTTATTTTTGTCATTTCTTAAATAAATTTTTTCATGATTGTTAAGTAATTGATTGTGTCTGATTAATTTTTTTCTTTAAAATATCCTTGAATGTTAAATTTTGAAAATGGATAATTATTATCATGACATATTCTACTATTATATTATTTATACAAAGAGTTAACTAATTTTTTCTAGCTATAGTATATTTATTTTAGAAAAAAGAAGAGGGAAAATAGAGGAAAGAACGGTAGAAAACAAAGTAAAAATAATTACTAGTATTTATAATTGATGGATTATGTCAAAGAGGAAAAGAAGAAGGATGAGATAACGAAAATAAATAAATTTATGAGATAGTATGGCAAATGCAAATTTTATGATAAGATTTTTTTATTTTTTAAAAAATAATTATTTGAGCACTGTTGCTCCTGAAAATCAATTTTTTTTATTGGTCAGGTACTTCAAATCTAGAAAGATCTTGGGTAAAATATTATTTATTTTGTGTAAAGTACAAACCATGTTGTCTAAAAGATCTTACATTATATATAAAAATAAAATAAAAACTTTTTTTTCAAAATATGTTACCATCATTCAAATTTAGATTAACCTAAGTCAATTTAGGTGAACTCGTAACACCGAATGACTAGATCCATCCGTGGCTAGATACTACTCATTCGTTTTATATGTTATGTCTTAGTTTTATTAGATACATTGTTTTAGAAATGCAAACAAACAAAGAAACATTATAGTATGAAATGAATTGCAAGTTGCACATATTGTCCCTACAAAGAATTTGTCTCACGTGGAATTTGAAGTCAATAATTATCGAGTTGATCGTTTGAATCTACAAGTTATTTTTTCTTCATTTTCTTTTCTATGGGTCTATTTATAAACTAATTAATCCTTTAGATTCTTTATGTTAGTCTAAGGACATTGTTGTTGTGTCTTTGCTACCTCTTGAGAAAATATGTAGACCGATGGACAACCCTTCAATGTCGCAAACTTGCAATGGTGTGGGATCGAGCATTATAATTAGTAGTTGTTACGTAGTGTCTCTCTTGAAGGAGCTAAGGTTTGACGTCAAATTTTTTTTAATTAATAAGTTATAACAGGACTAAGCAATATTCAACAATGTAACAACAACTTAAATCCTTCCAAAAATGTAAGCCTCAATTATGAATATTGTTGAAAAACCCTTTAGTATACAAACAAACAAATGTGTCATAAATCATTCATTACAATCCTTTTGAAAGAAAAAAAAATAAAAATAATTCATAAACATAAGAAGGGTATAATTGAGAACAAATTACAAAAAGATGTAAAAAAATAACTCAACCGGTTCACCGACACGGACATGCAATTTTTATAGAGGTACCATTCTATGCAAATTACTTTAATGTCCCTTCTTTTGAAAGCAATGTGAAATTATGTGAGATTGATGTTGTGCTTTATCGTGATGGTTGGATATGGTAGGATGGATGCGATTATTTCACCATTAGTTAGAAGTATCGAATTTAAATTTTATGAATAAAAAGATTTTTTGTAGGGAGTGATTTTTCATAAACGTCATACATGATATGAAACTGAATCAGTAGGTTCTGTATATATACTAGATGTTGCACCTTGTGCTTTACCATCAAAGGTATGGTGGGATGAATGATATCTTTTCCCATGTGATTTCGAATTTGAGTCCGATGAAAAAATATATTTTGTTTTTTGATATTTTTCCTAAAAAATAAATCCATAAAATAGCAATATTTGAGTTAGTATTAAATCAAGAAATAATTATTACCGTAGTTAGGCAATACTCTTTTTTTTGGTTTTTGCCCTGGCATTGAAATCCGACTATTTCAATTTTCCGCCACATAGGGCTCATTCGAGGAAGTGGTCCCCACCAATATCATTATTGTGTCTTCATTTTTAATGAATATATTCAGACACATAATTATTTCAGACTCAAATACACTTATAAGAATTGTGATAATAAGCTGATATTGTTTATGTAAAATTATGCATACATTACTACTGGTAATGAAATAAGAAAAAAGTTGATAGATAAATGATAAAAATTAGTGTTTTTCTTTGTTGCTTTATTTGATTTTGTTTGTGTTTAAAGTTTAAACGTAAAACATTGGTTAACTTTTTTTTTTTAAAAGAAAGATAAATTTTGCAAGTTATACATCCTGCAAAAGAATTTCGACTTGTACTAAATAACACCAATATTCTATCCATGACGAGGCCTAAGAGATGGCCCGAGTCAAAATCATGTCAAACATAACACTTGATTGATGTGCTTGGTTACGATACAATTTTGCATCGTTACTATCAGCTATAACTTTTGACATGATGGTAAGCACATGAAATACGCTACCATTTAAAAGGAAAAGGAAAATGTTTAAACATCACTATCCTTGATTACAAAAGGAGCACAAAAGAATTTCTAATACAAAATATTTCTCTCAAAGTCAAAACTTTGACATCAAAATATGAAATCGATAAAACCAGAGATATGTAGGCAACTTAAAACACATCACGACGTGCAAGATGAAACCTTGCACGTAGATATAAAAATGGTGAGTTTATGCGGTTAAAAGAGTCTTGATGATTTTCTCTCCAATTCCATCAATCATTGGAACCAAATGACCAGCACCTGGAATTTCATGATATTGGATCCATGGTAATTGCTCTGCAATGTACCTTTGTAGTGTGACGGGCGAGAGCCTATCCTCATCGCCTTGCCATAAGTGAACGGAACCTTCATTTTTAGGGAACGGGCTCTCAAGATCCATTGGATCGAATTCCCATGTTCCGAATCCAATCATTAAGTCGCGGTGAAGGGATTCGTATTCTCCTTGTTGTCTTACCTGTGCCTGCAGGAGAATTGAGTAAGCACAAGAAAATTGAAAACTTTAGGAAACGAAAAAAAGAAAGAGAAAAGAACACCAATTGAGTTATCTGTTTTCGATACAAACTTATCGGACAAAGCCATTAAGCCTAGTCAAACACTTGCTTCCCTTGAAAGCACGGTCTAGACAACGAGAAGCAAGTGTGAGAACATGACCAGACACAATAAGCAACTTTGCACATCGATTAAAATTTCTTAGCCTGTGGAGTTTAATCTACTATTTACAAAGGCGGCATAAGCTCACTGATATCTGCCTCTAGGAATGAAAGCTTCAAAATGTTGATGCATAGAAGCTATGTTATAAGCAAACAATTGTCAATCAAAGGGATGTCTTATTACTAGATTGACGATGATATCATTGAGGTGAGAATGAAAGATTGACTAATCAAAGCATATATTACATTTCCAGCTTATGTAATTATGGCAAGGCAAGCAGGTCCGTTTACGGGCTGAATTTTATGATGTCTCAGATGAAAGCAAAGAACTTGCAAAAGAAAGTAAGAAATTCTCCTACATTGCCATCATCGGGAGTCAATGTACTCCCTCCATTCCAAAGTCTGATGTTTTTAGCTTGGGCACACTCCTTAAGAAACTACTCATTCCTAGAAGATAAGAAGTGGTTTTGCTAACATACCCCTAATTAAATGTCTTGAAGAAATAAGTGATTCTTTAAAGGTGTAAAAACTCCATGAACTAAAACAAGGATAATTTTGGAAGAATAAGATCAATTCCTTCTTAAGACCCTAAAACATCACTTATTTTGGAAAGGGGGAGTACTGTTTATTACCACGAATTCTCGTAAGCTTGAAAAGTTCATACGAGAATAGGCCACAACTAGAATGGACTACTATTTGAAAATGGCTAACGCTCAAAGATATAAGCATGATTATGTAAAATCCTTCACGGTTAGTCCAACTGCTAAGTTAATGAAATGGCATCCCAATAATGTTACCAGCCAAAAGGGTGTTCCCTCTCGAATAGAAGTGTCAATATCATCCCTCTGCATGACTCCCTAGGTATGCAAAGAGTCATTCTAAGGCCCGTTCTCTTATACACCACATCAGCATAAACAACAAACATTTTCAACATAAAGATGGTATTCGGGCCAACTTGGGTGCACCTTGACTATTTCATTTGGTACCTGATACCTCCTATCTACACAAGTAGCAGAAACCTGACAACTAAGGCTTAGGCAAATGAGAAGAAATCCCCTAGATTTTCTTTTTTTGTTAGCTCCAATAGGATTTGAAGCCTAGTCTCCCATGGCTCTTCTTCTCCATATACAATAACCATATTAGGCCTCATTTTTTGTTAAAGGCCTCATAACTTAATAGTGAGACTAGGAGGTTTCAACAAATGTGGGTCCTCTCAAGAACCCCACCGAGACATCTTTGGCCAGCAACACATTACTCCCTCTGTTTCAATTTGTTTGTCTTACTTTCCCTTTTAGCCCATTTAAAAAAAAGGTCTATTACCTTTTTTTGCAATCCTTTAATTCCAACTTTCTACGTGGCTTGTTTAAGACTATAAGATTAAAGGACATTTTGGTACATTTTACGTATCTTTAGTTTAAGACCACAAGATTGAAAAGTCTTTCTTTCTTAAACTTCATGCCAAGTCAAAACCGGACAAACAAATTGAAACAGAGGGAGTATGTCCTAATTCAACTATGAACCATTACAGCGGACTACATTATTCACTATCCCTAACAATGTCTCCTTATTAAACACCAGTTGATGCTTAAACACAAAGTATTGTTTCCTTATTCAATAAATGATTCATTAAACTGAACTAAATTGGCTGATATGCTTTATTTCCAAGGGGTGATCTAATGGTCGAAAAATTGGAGTAATGAATCCTAGCATATTCAAAACCAAAAAAATTATTCTTATTTGTATAAATGTTGGTGGACAGAGTTAATAAATATGTGTATAATGTATTGGTAAAAGATAAAAGGCATCCATAGATTAGTCGAGGTGCACAATATTGTCTGAGCAGCATCGTCATCAAAAGGAAAAGAAAGTTTAACCATTATGCCTTGCTATGTCTATTTGTTGAATGTTGATCAATCCTTACCATTGGAAGTACTATGATTGCCTCAGTGTATATTTTCATATCAATGCTTCACATTTGATACTCAGATACAAATACGTATTCCTTTTTAAAAAAAATTGTTAACATGTATTCCTCACATACCTAAGCTGGAGTTGAGAGTTGTAGATTAGCCAACTTGTGCGTGAACAAATCTTGATTCAACTTCTATAAGCACAAACTTGCTACATTTTGGTGAGCATGAATTTGTCACATTTACTCTTGTAAACTTCGATTGCACTAATCCCAAACAGGAGGTTCTTATTCTAGGTCTAAAAATATAAAATTAGCATTTCCAAGTGACTCAGTAGACCGCATGCTATACTCCAAAGCATAGGCTAACTCCATAACACACTTACAAGAATGCCAACCATCATTTAGTTAGCCTTTTGTTCGTCTCTCTCAGTATCTCTCAGTTACACCCACCCACCCCACCCTGCCTCTACAGTTGATAGTAGAAAGTTATGTTGGTCTATTAACGGTTGATTCCAGAACTTGATTCTGGATTGAAGAAAATAGGCGAAACTAGATATTAGCATACCCACGCTAAGCTAAAGCTTGAGATGGGTAAATATTCCTTGGCAAAGTTTGAGGTGGTTTCCAAGCTCAAGTAATATGCAGCCAGGCTCAAGCTCAACTCGAATAATTTTAAACCCAAATTTATAAATGTAGCTGCAATATCATCCTCCTAACATCTTTTTTTAACAAATTGATATTAAAGGAAAGAGCTCTTACACGATAGTCTTGGCTCGAACTTTGCTTGGAAACTAGCTCTAGGTCCTTCGAAGAGAAAATTGCAGGGTTGCGACCTGCAGCACTACATGAAGGAAAGAACTTCTGAGTGTTCCACCAATAGGTGAGCCACGGAAGGTAATGAGCAACACGAAGAGTCCATTTGTCTTGAGGAAGTCGAAGGTTGAATGCTTCTTGGGACATATTCACAGGTAACCTAGGCCACCAATAGTTGACAACTGGTGCAATAAGAGCAGCACCTGCCAACCTATTTCAAGTAACGAACGTGATTCTTGAATCTTGATATTCATTTCAAATAACTTAATAAAACAAATAAACAATCATATAACAAAAATCTTAAGTTTGTGCTCCTGACAAAAGGAGTTGAGACTCCTTTATAGAGTCTGCTTTTCCAGAAAAATTTCAAGCTTTTCTTCCACAAACTACTGAACCTACAAAAATTCCATATGAACATGGGAAGAGCTAGGGCCCCTTCGCGGAAAGTTATACTGTATTTTCAAGGTCAAAGTTATTTTTTTAGAGTTAATGGTCAAAAACACATCCAAACTATGACTTTTTCACGAGTTTCATACCTCAACTATCCATTGTTCTCTTTACCTATCTAAATTGTCATTCCCTTAGTATTAAGACACACCTCGATGTTGTGTTGGCCAAATATTTGTTCTCAATCAACAACAAGCACATGTAGGCCAACTCAACATCGAGGTATGTTTTAATACAATTGAGTGATAGTTGAGATATGAAACTCGCGAAACACATGATAATTTAGGTATGTTCTTTCGCAATTAACTCTATTCAATTATGTATAAATAATAGATGTCACTGGCTTCTTTGTGTGTTTACTTTTTTATATTGTAAGGGCCCTTAGTAAAAAAACTTGGTTCAGCCATTGCATATGAGGTAGAACGCTCTCCTAATGTACATGTAACAAAAATGAGATTACCTGTGAGGAATGTATCTGAGGCAGGTCCAAACAGCCTGTCCCCCCATTGAAAATCCCATAACATAGAATTTGGATCCTAGACCTAATTGATCGGCAAGCTCCTGTATATCAAAAGCTAAACTCTTGACTGTTCGTTTTGGATTAGGATCACTTTCTCCATAACCAGGTCTGTCAAAGGAAACAATGTACACTCCTAAACTTTCAATGACATCCTGCAAGAAAAACAAAAATTATGATCCAAAATACATAGTTGGTCCATAAAAGAATACGAGCAAAAGAATCAAGTGACGTTACTTGAGAGAGGATGTTAATTGGAACATCATGCCTACAACCATCGTACCCATGGATATACACAATCTTATATTTTGCATTATCTCTAGATACACCAATCTCCTTGTAAGCCAAGTGTCTTCCATCACTAAGTTTGATTCTAGGTGCAGTGACGGGAGGGCCATCTGGGGACCCACAGGTCTTAGGGGGAGGTGGTCGTGTTGCCTGATAACCCCACGCTAATAACCCAATCAAAACAACCAGAAGAATTTTCGCAAACGCCCCTGAAATGATATCATTTGGGTTGCAAGATTATTGAGAATTCAAATAATTTGGAAAGACAAAAAGACGAGCAATAGTATTCAAGCATCTTAAAAAAACTTTTTTTAAAATGGACATTGTTTAGAGAAACATTTGCACACTCAAGCAACTTAAATAAAGTTAAACTAAAATCTTCGATTTTGAGAAAATACAGAATATATCCAGTTTCAAGATTGATGAAGAGCATCTAATAATACAAGAATTTTCTTTGAAATTTTGAATAGAAACATATGCAAACTCAAGCAAGTCAAATCAAATTTTTGGTTCTAAGTAAACAACCATTATAATTTCTATTTGCAGTTTCTAATTAAAACGATACTATTATGGGCATTCAAATGTAAGAAAAAAAGCAAATGCATATTCAAAAATAAAAACTTTCCACCAAATGTAACAAAGTTATCAACTTCTGTTTTTTGGTTTCCCAACCCAGTGTCCGGTACCCACATTGGGACCTGACTAAATCCGTATTTGTGCCGGGAAGTCCCACATTGAAGGATAAAATGCTCTGTAACAACAGCGACTCCCTACCTCGGCTCAAACCCGACACCTTTGGTTAGGAAAGTTATCAACTTTACATAACAAAGATTCAGTTCATCACTATACTTTCTACATGCCTCAACAAACTCATTCAGATGTGAGAAAAGAGTACCAAAATCATAATCAAAACTTTCCACCAAATGCTACAAAGTTATCAAGTTTTGTTTTTGATTTCCAAACCCAGTGTCCGGTACCCGCAATGGGACCGACTAAATCCAGACTCACCCCGGAAAGTCCCACATTGGGGATAAAATGCTCCCTAACAAAGGGAGACTCCTAGCCAGGCTCGAACCCGACACCACTAGTTAAGGAAGTTATCAACTTTACAAAATAAAGATTCAGTTCTTCACTATATTTACTACATGCTCCAACAAACTCATTCAAGTGTGAGAAAAACTTTCAAAATCATAATCAAAATAAAGAACTCCCCACCAAATGCAACAAAGTTATCAACTTTTGTTTTTGGTTTCCAAACTCGGTGTCCGGTACCCACATTGAGATCCGACTAAATCCAGATTTGCATTAGGAAATCCCACCTTAGGGATAAAATACTCCCTAACAAAGGAAACTCTTTACCTCAGATTGAACCCGAGACCTCCAATTAAGAAAGTTATCAACTTTATATAATAAAGATTCAATTCATTACTGTATTTTCCACATGCCCCAACAAACACATCAGATGTGAAAAAATATAAAAATCAAAACTTCCCACCAACTGTAACAAAATATCAATTTTTGTTTTTGGTTTCCCAACCAAGTGTCTGGTACCCACATTGGGACCCGATTAAATCCAGATTCACATCGAAAAATCCCACCTTAGGTATAAAGTACTCTCTAACAAAGGCAATTCTCTACCTCAGCTCGAACCCGAGAACTCTAGTTAAGAAACTCACCAACTTTACATAATAAAGATTCAGTTCTTCACTATATTTTCAACATATGATAAAACAAAACTGGAAAATTTATACCAAAAAACAAAAAAACAAAAAAAAAGAGAAATAAAAGGAGAAAAAGAAAACCCACCAGAAGGAAAAGGAAAAGAACTTTTTTGCTTAGCTTTACGAGTATGAGCCCTAGCTGAAGCTGCTGAAATCTTCTTTGTTGCCATTTTTTTTCCCCCTTCTTTTTCAGCTGAATCAAATTCTTGATTTTGAAATTACAAATTCTGTATTTTACAGTCTAGATTTACAAAAATTATACAAAAAGGAAGATTGAAGAGATCTGTGTCTCATCTCTCTGATCTAATAATTATTGCTATTTTTAGCATATGATCTATCCATAACATTTGGCAAAAACCTTTTTTCCTTTCTTTCTATTTTTTTCCTTTTTTTAAAAAGAAAAAGTTTAGGACTGTGGAACTGGAAACAATCAATAATTTCTTTATAATATATAGTACTATTAATAAATATTACAACAGTATTCGTATAACTCTAACTTACGTACACCTTAACTAATTTCACACTAAAGTTTAAGTATATGTTTGATGTATTATGTCCTTACTAATTATTAACAAATATTCAAGTTTGTTCAATGACAAGAGCGGAAAAATGAGTTAAAAGTGCCTTATAAGTTTCCAATTAAAAAAAGGGACAAGTGAGCCCCCTTTATTTTTTCTCTACTTTTTTATTTTTAATATTAGTAAAAAGACTAAACTAATAATATCTTTCGTAGTTGTCTAAACAACTACTGAAATTGTCTAGACAACTACTGAAGTTGTCGGACGACTAAAGAAGCTATCCCCACAACTATGACAATTGTTGGACAAAAGTGTGTAAAAGTTAACAGTTTGGGACTATTTAAAAAATATTTTTTAACCTAATTAATACTATTTGTCACTTCTACCCAATTTTTAAGACTTAAAGGACTCCTACCGAATTGACTAACTAATTTATCCACAAGTTAGAAAGTGTTTATGACTATATCTACTACCTGATCGAAAAAAACAATGTTGGTCAAACTCTTCAAAAATGTATAGCATTTAGAAGATTCGACATACATACAGTAATATTTTTGAAGAGTCTCAACGACTTAAGTAGAATTTAATTATTAACAAAATATTCAAATTTGTTCAATGACAAAAAAGATCATTGAATCCAATACTAAAACCAATAGCCCTTCATAGCTTTTACATAACAAAAGGCTCTCCAAGTAAAAATGTCTTCATGACTTTATCTCCCATTCCTTCAGCCCATGGAAACATATGTCCTCCTCCTTTCATTTCATGATAGTGAATCCATGGTAGTTTCTTCGCGATGAATCGTTGTAGAATGACTGGTACATGACCGTCTTCATCACCTTGCCAAATGTGAACGGAGCCTTCCCCGTTAGGGAATGGGTTTTCTAGTTCCATCGGATCAAATTCCCATGTCCCGAAACCTACCATTAGGTCGCGATGGATGGACTCATACTCCCCTTGCTGTCTTACCAAGTCCTAACATCAAATCAAAAAACAGAACAGAACTCAGAGTTAAGTACTTGTTAGTTGCTAGTATGCATTAGGCAAGAACAAGAATTAGGAGAATTAACTCAAACAATTTGCTAATCAAAATCAACACATATAATTGTGGAATTAAGTTATATACAATACTATCAGCGTAATTTAACTAGTTATAACAAGTTATGACTCTATCTTGAGTGTTACTATATCAGATTTGATATGAAGCGTCTCCTACTGTCGCTAATGATGCAAAAAACTTATATGTAACTCTATTTGAAGCCATTGTTGATCCACCATTGATCTTACTTCAAAGTCGCGTGAAAATGAAATGTGGATATGCTAAGAAGCTAAAGGAGTGCTCACCCGATATTTATTCTGATATGAATCAAAGATAGGCATTAGAACTCTGTCTTGCTCTAAAAGAATATCCTCGCTGAACGTTGCAACGCTGGAAGAAGGAAACAATTTTTGAGTGTTCCACCAGTAAGTCAGCCATGGAAAATAGTGTGCAATCCGAAGTGTCCATTGATCCTGCACGAGCTGTTCATAGTACGCTTGTTTAGTCAAGTTTGCAGGAAAACTACCCCACCAGTAGTTAGTCACGGGTGTTAGAAGAATTGCTCCAGCCAATCTGTTACACATTTCAAATGTCACAAGTTAAGATGGAAACCTATATGCACCCGAGAAGGTCACCTAAAAGATAACTACAACAGATTAACGTAAAATAATAATGTAAAAGTCATTAGCATCGTCAGTGTCTACAAGTTAATCCGAAGAACTAAACTTTTTTCTCTGAAAAATCAATTTATACAGAGAAAAAAAATAAGCCAATCCGTAAGATGATTTCTTCGCACCGGCTTAAACATTGATAGACAAAGTTACCCGTGTATGTGCTGGTTGGAGCTAGCAGGTACCCTGTTAAATAGTTGAGGTGCGAGCAAACTAATCCAGACAGGATAAATTTAACTATAAAAATCAGTGGCACCGTCAGTGTCTATAAGTTAAGCCCAAAGAACTAAACTACTTTCTCTGAACAATCAAGCCAATTCATAAGATGACTTCTCCTCATCTGCTTAAGCATTGGTAGACAAAGTTACCATATATGCGCTGGTGGGAGCTAGCAGGTACACAGTTAAAATAGTCGACTGTGAGCAAACTAACAGTACCTGTGAGGAATATACTTGAGAAGGCCCCAAACAGCTTGTCCACCCATAGAAAATCCCATAACATAAAATTTAGATCCCAATTCCAATTGATCAGCTAATTCCTCTATATCAAGAGCTAAGGTCTTTGGCGTTCTTTTTGGATGAGGATCACTTTCACCATAACCAGGTCTATCAATTGACACAATATATATTCCCAAGCTTTGCATAAGCTCCTGCAACCACAAACAAAATTTCATTAATAGCAGCCACAAATATATTCGAGCAGACAGTAAGTGTCCCTCCATCCTTAATCAAGTTCCAGATCCAAGCTCTAGAAATAAAGTCGCTGTTGTTAGGAGCCTTAACCCTCAAAGTGGGACTTCCCGATGTGAATTCGGACTAGTCATGCTCCAAATCGGGTGTTGGACACCAGTTGGGAAACTAAAAAGAATACTAAACACAACCTTTATAAGTACCCCTCAATCGTTAACCAGAGATCTAAGGTTCGAGCTATGAAAATGTAGTTGCATTGGGCCGGGAGCCTTAAAACTAGGACTTCCGGACACAAATTCAGATTAGTAGGGCTCCAATAGATGCCGGACACCTAATGGGAAACCAAGATGAATACTAAAACAACCTTTAAAAGTATCCCTTAATCCTTAACTAGAATCACCAGAATCTTGGGGGTTGAGCTCTGAAAGTAGAGTAATCTTTGGTCGGAAGCCTTAAAAGTGAAACCTCCCAACACAAATCTAAATTAGTCAGACCCCAAAACAAATATCGGACCCAAACAAAACGAAAAAGAAACTAAAAACTATTCTAAGGGAGGGCGGGGGGAGAACAAGTAAAGATGAAACATACATACAGGAGAAGTAGTTGTGAGCAAAGCAACATCATGTCTAACACAATCAAAGCCATGGATGAAAACAAATTTGTGTTTTGCTTGGTCTCTAGGAACACCATTTTCTTTATATGCCAAATATCTCCCATCAGAAAGCTTCACTCTTGGTGCTGTAATTAGAGGTCCATTTGGTGAACCACAAATTTTTGGTGGCAGTGGCATAATTGCCCTATAAATCAGTGCCAATATCACAATTCCAAAAAGGGCTACCATATTTCTCATCATTCCTGAAAATGGAAAGATTTCAAGAAAATAATAAGAGAAATCAAGAAACCTTTTTTGATGAATGTTGGACCTACAATAAGAACCTTCCCTTAGAAAACATCAAGAAGAAGAAAAATTATGCCATGTAAACATGCACCCCCACAAATAAAAGAAATTTCAAATAAACTCATGGCATATAAAATAATTTATGTATTTGTATAACACAAGTTTGTTCAACTGCTATACAATAAAAAGGAAAAATGAGCAAAACACTAGTAAATTTTGTTTGCTGAATATTTATATTATTGAAACTTCTATTTTGAATATTTACACCAACACAATAATTTTGTGTTACTTTATTATTCTTAATGTGCATGTTTCTTTTTCCTTTTTAAGTCTCATAAGTTCAATGACCTTTTAAGATATTAAATGTAATACTTCAAGCGTGTTTTTTTTACCGTTAACTCAAAATTTAAAAGTCCTACTATTAAACTTCAATAGTTGAGGGTAGGTGCTTCGCTTTAGATGACCACACAAGAAACAAGAGATTCTTTTTAATAGTTGAGGTAGGTGATTTTTTAAAAAAAAATTCATGCATGTGTGTATATATATATCATTTGTTCATTACAATATGGTTTCCCAGCCTAGTGTTCAGTACCTAAATTTCGGCATTGAAACCTGATGAAATGCAGATTTGCGCCGGAAATTCTACATTGGGGGATAAAATGCTCTCTAAACAAGGGTGACCATAATCAAAATCTAAACTTCCCACCAAATGAAACAAAGTTATCAACTGGTTTCGGTTTCCCAAACCAATATCCGATGCAGGACCCAACTAAATCTGGATTTGCGCTGGAAAGAAATCTTACATTGGAGGATAAAATGCTCCCTCTAACAAAGGCGACTCCATACCCCGGCTCAAACCCGACACATTTGGTTAAGAAAGTTATTAATTCATATAACAAACTCCTCCAAATGTGAGAAAAACTATCATAAGCAAAATCAAAACTTCCCACCAAATCTAACAAAGTTATCAACTTTTGTTTTTGGTTTCTCAACCCCGTGTCCGGTACCTGCATTGAGATCCAACCCACCTAAATCCGGAAATTCCTACATTGAGTGAAACAAATACTCTTAAACAATGGCAACTCCTTACTCTGGCTCAAACCCGACACCTCTAGTTAAGAAAGTTATCAACTTTTGTTTTTTGGTTTCTCAACCCCGTGTCCGGTACCTGCATTGAGACCCAACCCACCTAAATCCGGAAAGTCCTACATTGAGTGGAAAAAAATACTCTTAAACAATAGCAACTCCTTACTCTGGCTCAAACCCGACACCTCTAGTTAAGAAAGTTGTCAACTTTTGTTTTTTGGTTTCTCAACCCAGTGTCCGGTACCTACATTGAGACCCAACCCACCTAAATCCGCAAAAGTCCTACATTGAGTGGAAAAAAAGACTCTTTAACAATGTCAACTCCTTACTCTGGCTCAAACCCGACACCTCTAGTTAAGAAAGTTAACAACTTTTGTTTATTGGTTTCTCAACCAAGTGTCCAATACCCGAATTAGGACCCAACCCAACTAAACTCATATTCGCGCCAAGAAATCCCACATTAGAGCTAACATACTCCCTAACAAAGGCAACTCACTATCTCAGCTCAAACCCGAGACCTCTAATTAAAGAAAGTTATCTAACTTTACATAATAAAGATTCAATTCTTCAATATATTTTCAACATAAGATAAAATAAAATTGAAAAATACGAAAACCCACCAGAAGGAAGAGGAAAAGAAGTCTTTTGCTTAGCTTTACGAGTATGAGCCCTAGCTGAAGCTGCTGAAATTTTCCTTGTTGCCCCACCTGCCATTTTTTTTCAGCTGTAGCAAATTCTTGATTTTGAAATTACAAATTCTGTAATTTACACTCTAAATTTTACAAAAAGGAACACTGAACAGATCTGAGTCTCAGCTCATGTACTTTTAATTATTTTTTTTTAACATATGATGTAACGACAGCTTATGACCCAACCCATTTTTTATTGCTATCACCAACTTGTCCTTTTAGACTAAAGGTAGTTTGTGTATTAACCCCAACGATAGCTTCAGCGTGTTTTAGAAAGAAAAAAAAAAAATTAAAAATTATCTTATTTTATTTTATTTTAACTTAATTAGTGTATAATTTTTTTATATATAGTCCTTTCTATTTCTTCCCTTTTTTGTAATAAGTGTCAGTTTTTGTCTGAAAATTTCATCGGTTTCATAGTGACGTGATGTTATATCAATTTATTATATATTTAGATTTTATTTGATTGTTATAAATAAAAGGTTTACAAAATAAATAATTTAATAATTTTGTGTATCCAAAAGAAAGAAATGTATTTGTTAATTAAATTAATTAAAAACAAAAAAAAAACTATGAATGTAGAAAATCATCATATATATATATATATATATATGTGTGTGTGTAGCTTTTACAAGGTGAAGTTAGACACTATTTAAAAACAATGGGACAATATAAAGCCACAAAAACATCAATCCTCACAAAATATACCATTGAAAATGTCTATAAATATAACATTCTTTTATTACAAAAATGACTAGTCGTCTACATTGATCAAAACTCTCTAAAGATATCGTCACACTCATCACATCATCTAAAGCCAGAGTAGCATAGCTAGCCGTATGAAAGGTATAATCAAAGCACAATCGATGTATTAAAAATGATATGCATAGTGTAACGCGACAAACGACCTAGTGTAAGCAACTCTTACGATACATTTTTCTCTCCGATCAAAAGAGCTTTCACAATTTTGTCTGCCATTCCATCAAGAACTGGAAACATATGACCAGCCCCCGCGATTTCATGATATTGAATCCATGGTTGTCGTTGAGCAATGTATCGTTGTAGAGTTACAGGGACGAGCTTGTCCTCGTCCCCTTGCCACAACTGTACTGAACCTTCTTTGTTAGGAAATGGATTTTCCAAATCCACAGGGTCAAATTCCCATGTCCCGAACCCAATCATAAGGTCGCGATAGAGTGACTCGTGTTGTCCCTGTTGTCTCACCTGAGCCTGAGGGTGCAAGAAATTTTGTTAAAGGTATATAAGATTTAACATATTTGGGTAAAAAGTAGTTTAATTTCTTGATCTATACATACACACAGTATAATTTTCCGACTAAGGATGTTCAACTGACTACCTTCAATCAAAGCATGGAGACAAACATTGTGAAGTATCACAAACTTACTTGGACGGGGTCAATGGTGATATATCATAGAGGCGTATGGCTTAGGTTCGTGACCTTCATTGCACTTACGACCAGTGTTAACTGATGAGTAATGACATTGATATTTTACAGCTAAATGTAACAAGAGGTATGATCTGAAGAGAAGAACACTTACATAAAGATCTCTGTTGGCGCGATACTTGGGCATTAGTTCTAGGTCCTGGGACGAAAGAGCACCGGGGTTGTAAGCAGCAGCACTACAAGCAGGGAAAAACTTCTGAGTGTTCCACCAGTATGTAAGCCACGGAAGGTAGTGAGCAACGCGAAGATTCCATATATCCTGAGGTAGCTGATGGCTGAACGCTTCTTTGGACAAGTTCGCGGGGAAGTTAGGCCACCAGTAGTTGGTAACAGGTGCTAGAAGAGCTGCTCCAGCCAATCTGTCACATATCACACAACATGAGCTTATACAAGCCAAACACAACACTACAACACAGAGTTCATCTGAACCCATTACTTTTAAAATTTGAGTCCATATAGGTGAGTACCTGTGAGGAATATATTTGAGCAAGGTCCAAACAGCTTGTCCTCCCATCGAAAATCCAATGACGTAGAATTTGGACCCCAGTCCTAATTGATCAGCAAATTCTTGTATATCAAACGCCAAGCTCTTTACTGTTCGTTTCGGATTAGGATCACTTTCTCCATAACCAGGTCTATCAATTGAAACAATGTATACTCCCAAGCTTTCAATAACCTCCTGGAAAAACATCAATTTATTAACACAGAAGTTATAAAACGAGAACAAGGTGAAAGTTCAGCTAGTCAACCAACTGAGCTACTAAGAAATGAAGACAGAGTTGAGGTAAACGGATGAGAGTTACCGGAGAGAGACCAGTTGCAACAACAGCATCGTGTCTGTTAGAATCATATCCGTGGATGAACACAATCTTATGTTTTGCTTGATCTCTTGGTACACCATGTTCTTTGTAAGCTAAGTATCGTCCATCGCTAAGTTTAATTCTAGGAGATGTAACAGGAGGGCCATCAGGGGTGCCACAAATTTTCGAAGGAGGAGGCTGCATTGCTCGATAAGCATACGCCACGAACCCCACGAAGAGGACTGCTAGAATTTTCCCAAACATCCCTGAAATTTTTCCCCTTTTATAAGCTTGGAATGAAGTTTTAAAAGCAGGAAAACAGAACACACTTGCTCTGCCACAAGAACTTTTATGCTATGTTGCTCGGGCTCTTCAAAAATACAGGTAAGGGTGTGTCGGTCCTCCAAAAGCTATTCCTTTTTAAGGATCAAATATAGGTGCGACATCATTTTTGAAGGGTCCGAGCAACATAATATCATGATTTCAAGAAGATTTCAAGCTAGAATGTTAACAACTCAAACAATTTCAACAACATTTTTCAAGAAGATTACAAGCTAAATTCTTCACATGCATCACATTTATTTCTCTAACAACTTAAGTATTTAGACGAGATGGTTACATACTTCACATGGTATCAAAACAAGCAGAGATCTTAGTATCGAGTCTCACAACCATACATTTTCAAAAAAAAAATCAAGTGCTTGACCCATAAAAGAATTAGGTCCTGGTCACATGAGGGGCTAACTGAAGACATAATTAAATAAACAAAAATGTACTCTATCTAAAACCTTTAACCTTTCAGAAGAAATGGTCACAAGTACACTTCATGGACGGGAGCCACAACAATTATTTTGACTAAACTCTAACCTTTAACCCGAAGACTAAAAATTCTAACTCCACCTCTGATCGTACAAAACAATCATTAACTCATTTTTTTCAACCAAAACAAACCCAATATCATATTATATCTGCGAGCATTAATCACCAAACTATACAAATGTAAAAAATTTCAAATGAAAATCACAACTTTCTGAAATTCATTATAAGTAAATGTCATTCTAATAGCTACAAACATATCATGAATTTTTTTCTAGTACAACAATAACAACTAGGCCTCAGTTCAAAACAAGTCGAGATCGACCATATAAATCTTCATTCTTCATTTATGCTCATATCATATCATTGTCATACTAAATAAAAATAAATGTGTCCAATAAAATAACATTAGAAAAAAATTGAAAAATTGAGTACCTGAAGGGAGTGGAATTGAACTCTTGATCTGTTTAGTTTTCCTAGTATGAGACCTGGCTGATGCTGCAGAAATTTTTTTGCTCATTTTTTTTTTCTTCTCTTAAAGAATTTAAAGCACAAAAATCAAGAATTTTTCAATGGTCTATGTGGTAAGGTTATCAACTACTTATATCACATTATAATATATGGTTTCAGAATTTCATTAAAAATGAATAAAGAATTAAAAAGTTTTTTGTCAATATTCAATCAAGTGTTTGTTTTTATTCTCAACATGTGTTTTCCAGTCGAATTGAATTGTCAAAACAACCTTTTTAATTAGGAAAAACTTATTCACATCGGATATTTATGTTAAATTAATGGAGTAAAAAAATAAAGTGAACATATATATTATTTAACCGTGGCTTAATAAGCACAAGACACGGATTAATAAGAATTATGGTTGAGTAGTAAATATTCGTTCATTCTTATCCAAAAGTCTCACATTTGAGTTCTGGACATGAAGTCCCATTTGTTAGAAAACGTTTTACTTCTCTCCATATGAGATTTTCTAATGCGAATCTGAATTTAGTGAGACCAGAATATGGATAAAAGACATATGTCTTGAATTTATTGGCTCAATGCGGGATTTTTGAAGTGAATTCAAATTTAATCGAACTTTGATATAGGTATTGAAAATCGAATAAGAAAACAATGTAAAAAAAAGAAAAGTAAAAGACACATGAGGTGAGAAAGTACAACATGAAAAAGAATAAAAAAAAAGTTGTGTTCAAAAAGAAAAGAGAAAATAGATGTAAGACTTTTGTTTCTCTCTTCTTCTTTTTTTTCTCATTTTATCAATAATTTAACTTTAATGTCTCTCTTCTTTCTCATTTTGTCAATAATTTAACTTTAATTTCTCTCTTCTTTCTCATTTTGTCAATAATTTCTTTTTAATGTGAATTTAGAGAAAAATAGATATTTAGTCAACTTTGGGTTGTTGAACAACAATTATCAAGATTAAAAAATTTCTACCTAATCACCGTGTTTTGACATTTTCATGTTTACATTATTTTATAAATGCAATTATTTGATTCGTTTTCAGCAGAAATATTCAGTCGATATTTGCTAGCTCTCTTTCCTTGAATTTCCATTAAAAATATAGATATGATCTCTTACCTTTAATGAGATGAGAGGTATTGGATTCGAGTTTTGAGTATAAAAATATTCATGTGAAGCGTTTTCTCTTCAGTGACCTATACATAATGTGAATCCGAATTAGTCAAGGCTTTAATGCAAGTAACATATATTAGGTGGCAAACAAAAAAAAAGATATGTATGACCGTCAAAGATTGTGATGAGATGGATAGTATCACTTTCCTCTTAGCCAAAATTTTTAGAATCGAGCCCTAAATATGATTTTAAAAAATCATGATAAATCGTGCCTTGACACATCTAAAATTAGTTGAATCCCAAAAATCAAAATAGGTATGGACATTAGATAAGAAATCAAAAATAACGCAATTGTATCAACATTATGTTAAATTTATGAAAGAAATCAAACAAAACAATAAACTATACATACCGTAATATATGAGATAATATATGAAATAATGTTGAAAGGGTCTCAACGAATAGTTCTTAGTTGTTTAATAGAATGGAAAATCATTTGAAAACTTTTTGGATCGATTAATCTGAATTCACATAGAAATATTCTTCTTCGAGATAAAGAGTTTTTCTATCAAAGAGGATTCTATTTCCAGGACTCGAACTCAAATTTCTCTGATTAAAGATGAAAGAATATTTATTACATTCACCACAATCTTAGTTTTGGTGGTTATATGAACTCTACAGATTAAAATACAGCAAGACCTTTCAATAACAGTAATCTTCTATAACAATACTTCACTATAACGATCAAGTTTTGTTTCAAATTCATTTTATGTTATATATATAACAACCAAAAAAAAACATCTAAACAACCACGTTGTTAATGGGCTTAAATTAGATATGTGAACTAGAAATATTTGGACTGGGCCTATATAAGGCAATTGGCCCAATGGGCTCATAAACATGTATAATTGAGCTAAGCAAAGAGTTTTTCAACTGCACCATGCATGATTCAAATCAAATCACTTGGACAAATAGCCACTTTTAGAACTGTCAATTGGAATATAACTAGAGACATTGAAATTTTGTGGGACTCTACAAGACGTGTTCAATTCGAGTTGAGACTCTACAAGATGTGTTCAATTCCAATTAGAATTCTTGGAGGCTACTCTACCCTAAACCCTACTTCATGCCTATATAAAGGGTACTATATTCCCTTGAAAAGACATCTCAAAAATTCCACCACAAATTCATGGAATATTCATAAAGAGATCAAATATAAATCATCTTAATTCAAGAAATACGCTACTAACGGGTCTCAAGTTATGAAGATCAAGTTCAAATTATCATAGTTCGAAAAATACGTCACTAACGGCCCTCGAATTATAGAAATCAAGTCCAAATCATCCAAGTTTGGGAAATACGCCACTAACGGCCCTTGAATTATGGATAAATCTTATGAGCGAGGAATCAAGGGAGGAACAGAATTGTAACCACAATATTTATCAATAAAGTTATGTTTCTTCATAATTTATTTGTGATTGTAATTTATTTTTTGTTACTTTAAAATTTATTGCAAACAATAACCTATGAGGATATATTTAAGAATGCATGTCTAGACACCTCAACTTGATTTAAGTTGACCGTGTAAACACGCTCGACATTCCATGCAACTTATGTGAAATATCATGTAGGATTGTATGTTTAGAGGGTCAACTCAAATCAAGTTGAAGTGTCTTGACGTGCATTCTCAAAATTGGATACTTATCAATTGAGGCCAAATTAAGGTGTATATCTATGTATATGAATAGTCGAATCAATAAATATCGGTTTCATATGATAAAATATAAAAAAAAGTAGCCAGAATGTTTTTCAAATAATCTTTATTAGATAAATAATATACAAGATTCCTTTGAAAATGTACTACATATATAGTCGTGGACCACCCCTCAATTTTATTTAATTCTGGCCAGCCCTTTCTCATATTCAAGGTAATATAAATTATAATCTAAGGTGTACTTTATAGTCCTAGGACATTAGATGAAAAACATAAAAAAAATTATAATCATAAAATAAAATAGTGAAGATTCAAAAACACATCAAAATAGAGGCAGATCCACGTTTGAGGGAGTAGGTGCATGTACACTGTTGCGCTTGCATTTCATTTACTTTTTAAAAAGGCATATTAAAAACCTCAGGCAAGATTCACACTAGCAACTTCAAATTGTACACTGAGGGTCAAGATCATCTAATCATAGAGTGAATTATGTTATACTTTTGTTTAATTTATATTTATATATACCTTCGATTTTATACTCCTTTGACAATATTTTCCAATGAAGTGTCGGTGCTTCGACAAACTCAAATCCGCCTTTAGTAGTATCGCCGTTATCTTTATATCCTGAGTTCGTCACTACATCTAAAGTTGAACTATCAAGTTTTTTGAGTTTCATACTTAACTATTAAGTTGTGAGTTTTCTACCTGAACTATCACCAATTATTTATCAAAATAAACCTCAACTCTTAGTTGTTCACTTTTCAAACCTGAAATATATAACAATCATTTAGGTAGGAAAAGTAAACAATTGATAGTTGAGGTATGTTTTGATAAATAATTAGTGATAGTTCAAATAAGAAATTCGCATATATGATAATTCAAATATAAAACTAAAAAAAAGTTACATATTTTAGATGTGTTTTTTACCGTAAACTTAAAAAAAAGAAGGGAAATTATATTACTTACATTATTTGTTCATATAGGTACCCCAATAATTGGATCATTTTTAATGACCCTACATCACTTAAATCAATCACTTCTAATTGACCCTAGACATACATAAATAATAAAGAAATATCCTTTTACTTTAAAGTGGTGATGTAAGCTCAATAATTATAGTTACATGTCTTGATGTATCTATTCAGAAACTTTATACATAAAGTAGTTGTTAGTTGCTGTTCTTGCCCAATAATGAAGCAAAGCTCACTAAATATTATTTATGCTAATACATTACATTTTTAGGATAATGTATCATAATAATTAACTTGGAAATTCAAGAAAATGAAGTTATAAATAGAAAACTCATCAAATCTTAAGTCTTCAAGTTTTGGTTTAATGGTAAGAGTGTAATATGAACGAGTTCAAATCACATCGCAAACAAACATATGAAATTTAAGTGTTGAATGACAAAGGCAAGTCCATTATTTATTGAGTTTTGAATGGTGCGTCTGTTGGCCCTTAGAGATTTCTAGATCATCGAATAATAATAATTTAGTCTTCAAGTGACATAATAAGTATGTGATCTTCACAACGTAAACATCTTGATAACAACAACGATTCAGTTCCAAACAAATGACCTCAAAATTTTAGTTTATAAGTGTCATTATTTGAATGTACGACAAATAGTGATCTCCACTTGTGTAAGTTAAGCATTCCAACTTACAAAATGATCATACAATCATCTCCAAAGACCAAAGTATATGTGTCATGTAGCGTCAGGGGTGCATGAGACACAATGAGAACGAGTTGGACTATATAATTGTCAGTTGAGAGACCAAGTTAATGTCTTAAGTAGAATTTTATTATTAGCAAAATATTCAAATTTGTCCAATGACAAAAAGAGTCATTGAATCCAATACTAACACCAATAGCCCCTTATAGCTTTTACATAACAAAAGGCTCTCCAAGTAAAAATGTCTTCATGACTTTATCTCCCATTCCTTCAGCCCATGGAAACATATGTCCTCCTCCTTTCATTTCATGATAGTGAATCCATGGTAGTTTCTTCGCGATGAATCGTTGTAGTTTGACTGGTACATGCCCGTCTTCATCACCTTGCCATATGTGAACGGAGCCTTCCCCATTAGGGAAAGGGTTTTCTAGTTCCATTGGATCAAATTCCCATGTCCCGAACCCTATCATTATGTCGCGGTGGATTGACTCATACTCACCTTGTTGTCTTACCAGATCCTAACCTCAATCAGAAACAGAACAGAACAGAACTCAGAGTTCAGAAATGTTATCCACACGTATCAAGTTATATACACTGATAATGTAAAGAGTTTTTCCACTATCTTTAAGGGCACTATACATTACCATATCAAACTTCATACGAAGAGTTACGTATTGTTGCCCAATGATGTACAAACATCAATACTGACAATGCATATAACTTAAACTCTATCGTTGTTATTACTCTGATGACACATATATCTGTTCTTGTTTTCACATTGTTAGATCCACCCATTGAAATAAGGACATGCTAAATAGTTAAACAAGTGCTCACCCGACATTGACTCTGATACGAATCAAAGATAGGCATTAGAACTCTGTCTTGCTCGAAGAGAATATCCTCACTGAACGTTGCAACGCTGGAAGAAGGAAACAACTTTTGAGTGTTCCACCAGTAAGTCAGCCATGGAAAATAGTGTGCAATTCGTAACGTCCATTGATCCTGCACGAGCTGTTCGTAGTATGCTTGTTTAGTTAAGTTTGCAGGAAAACTACCCCACCAGTAGTTAGTCACAGGTGTTAGAAGAATTGCTCCAGCCAATCTGTTACACATTTCAAATGTCACAAGTTAATATGGAAAACTATACACTTAATCATTGGTAGACAAAGTTACTCGTATCTGTGCTGGTGGGACGTAACAGGTACCTGTGAGGAATATACTTGAGAAGGCCCCAAACAGCTTGTCCACCCATAGAAAATCCCATGACATAAAATTTAGGTCCCAAATCCAATTGATCAACTAATTCCTCTATATCAAGAGCTAAGGTTTTTGGTGTTCTTTTAGGATGAGGATCACTTTCACCATAACCAGGTCTATCAATTGACACAATATATATTCCCAAACTTTGCATAAGCTCCTACAACCACAAACAAAATTTCATTAATTGCATCCACAAATATATTCAAGTAGCAGTAACTGGTAAGTATCGGTACATCCTTAATCAGAAATCTTTGATTTGAGTTATGGAAATAAAATTGTTTTTTTTAGGAGCATTTACCCTCAAATGAGACTTTTCGGCTCGAATTTAAATTAGTCGAGCTGCAAAATGAGTGTTGGACACTAAGTGGGGTCCAAAAAGAATACTAAAAACAATCAATTAGTCGAGCTACAAAATGGGTGTTGGACACTAAGTGGGAACCAAAAAAGAATACTAAAAATAATCTTTTAAAGTATTCTTCCATCGTTAACTAGAGATCTAGAATTCAAACTTTGAAAATGGAGTCGCATTTGGTCGGGAGTCTTAAAAGTGGGACTTTCCTACATGAATTCGGATTAGTCTGGGGCTCCAACGGGTGTGGGACATCAAGTGAGAAACCAAAAAAAATACTTAAAATAACCTTAAAAAGTATTCACCTATCGTTAACCAGATATCTAGGATTCAAACTCTAAAAATGGAGTCACAATTGATCGGGAGCCTTAAAAGCGGAACTTCCTAACACAAATTCAAATTAGTCAAATATCAGAAAACCAAAAAGAATACTAAAAAGCAACCTTAAAAGAACCCCATCATCTTGGGATTGGAGCTCTAAAAATAAAGTCATCTTTTGTCAAAAATCTTAAAATTGGAACTTCTTGATACGAATTTAAGTTAGTCAGACCTCAAACAATAGAAAACCAAAAATAATACTAAAAAACAACCTTGAAAGAATCCCCTCATCTTGGGATTCGAGCTCTGACAATAAAGTCATCTTTGGTCAATAGCCTTAAAAGTAAAACAATCCCAACACAACTTTATACTAGGCAGACTCCAAAACAGATATCAGATACCGAACACAATAAAACAATCTAAAAACTATTCAAAAAGGGGTAAAAAGAAACAAGTGAAGATGATACATACAGGTGAAATAGTGGTGAGCAAAGCAACATCATGTCTAACACAATCAAAGCCATGAATGAAAACAAATTTGTGTTTTGCTTGATCTCTAGGAACACCATTTTCTTTATAAGCCAAATATCTCCCATCAGAAAGCTTAACTCTTGGTGCTGTAATTAAAGGTCCATTTGGTGAACCACAAATCTTTGGTGATGGTGGAATAATTGCCCTATAAATTAGTGCCAATATCACAATACCAAAAATTGCTATCATATTTATCATCGTTCCAAAAAAAAAATCGAAAGATTTTCAAGAAAACAAGAAAATTTTGACCAAAATACCCTTTAAAAATGTTGATATTTAAGTTGAAGAAGAAAAGTTGCTCTTATTTAACTTTAAATAAAAAGTGGTTGAACAATTCAAGAACACAAAGTAAATATCCAATAAAAATGATAAAGAGATACGAAGTGGATGGTCACAACTGAATTATTTGCTGCATAGTACAGAGTAGTGATCTTCTAATATCTTTACTTCCTCTATTATATATAGGTCTACCTCATTCAAAAAAAAAAAATTAAAAAGAAAAACAAATATGTCTAATACTTTATTTATTTTCCATTTGTTGTTTGATATCAACATTGAAATCCAATTAATTATGATTCATATATTGCAAGACTCATTATTAGGGACGGTGTTTCTAGAAAAAAAAATTCATTTATGAGGGTTTGAACCCGAAACTTCTGATTAGGAATGGAAAGACCTTAATCATACCACCATGACGAGTGTTGGTAAATTTTTTTATCATTCCTTCGTTTCAATTTGTTTGCTCGATTTTCACTTCGCACGAATTTAAGAAATTAAAAAATGCTTTTGAATCTTGTAGTTTAAAATTAAAAATATATCAGATGTACCAAAATATCTTTTAATAATATAATATTAAATATATCAAATGTAAAGTTAAAATTAAATAATTGTAAAAAAATAAAAGATAAAAGTTCTATTATTGAACATCAATTGTTGAGGTAGGTAAGCTTTAGATGGACCCTAACAAGAAACAAGAGAGGTCACTAGTAATCTTTAAGTGACAATAAAAATTTATTCACACTCGATATTTTATATTAAAGCATTATTATTAAATAATAAATTGGGATAAAATTATGTATTAATTAACTATATTTTGTATACCATGTCTCTTCTTGCACACATTATGCAAAAATAGTTGAACACTAAAAGAGTAGATGGAAAATCAACTTAAGTTACTATGATATTCTTAAATTCGTTCAATTCGTATAAACAACGTACTTTAAGGTGTGTATTTTATTTTTTTTAAGTTTATTCGATTTACATAAATAAAGTATTTTAAGGTGTGTACTATAAATTTTTTTCCTAAAATAAAATAAAGCCACAATAATGTTGTATTTAAATGTTCTTATATGTGTATTGAATTATTGTAGTGCAGTACAAAGTTGATGTTGAGTCGGCTCCTATATATGTCATTAGATATGCGTTGCTTGAGCTCCCTCCACCTTATCGATATTGAATTGGTTTAAATATACCATTATAAAACGTGATATACTGACATTTAAAATTAATCAAAAAATGAGGTGGATAGATGAGATTGCATTCTTAATTACACATCTTCAATTCGAGCTCTAAAAACAACAAAATGCGTATAAAGAAATCTTTTATCAACTAATCTTACGAAATATTATACAAATTTTAATTAATCAGATCAATAAATATTAAAAATAAAGTGACACACCAACTATAATAACGTATCATAGTATATGATTTTATAAAAAAGTGATTGGTTGGGTCACTAATATTCTTGCTTTGCTTTGAGGAAAAATCCACTAAGAATGACAAAACTAATTTAATTTGTTTGGTGTGCTGACAAAAGAAGATAGACATCCTCTCATTGAGCCACCCTAATTATACACACTTGTACCTACTTAAAAATAATATATATATATATAAATATTTTTAAAAAAATCAAATTAAATATGAAAAAATTGTTTACATTTTTTTTTCAGTAGGGGCAATTTATTTGGAATAGTAATATAATAATAATATTGTGTTACAAATTAACAAAATGAGATCCAAAACTTACCAAATTTTGATTCTCAAATACGTACTAGCATAGCTCTAACTCCGGCAATGACCTCAAAAGGATATTAAAAAATAAAATCGGAATATGAATGAAATATAATGAAATAGGAAAAAAAATAATGAAGGCAATTGCAGATGATAAGCTAGGAAAATGATTCAATATTAGGCTACATGAATTATTAATTAGGTGTATGAATTTTGTATCTGAACTTTCACCAACTATTTGTCAGGACACATATATAATTGTTTGAGTTTCATATATACCTGAACTTTTAGATAGGAAAAGAGTATAAAATATTGCGTTTACATAAGATTTGAGAAATTTAAATTGTATCCTAATAGGTGTAACGTAGATAACGTATTTGATACATGCAAATACTAGCTAATACTTCTTCAGTTCTATTTTATGTGAAAATTACTATTTGAAAAATCGAATAATCTTTTTTTTGCTATAGTTTTCTCAAGCTTTTTAACATTTTGATTATTAGTATGTTGATATTTAATAATTTTTACATAATTTTTAAATATATAAATTAATTTATAATTCTAATTAAGTATTTCAATCCTTAAACATGTTTTATACTCCTTCACACAAATTAGAACAAATAAAATAACTAATAGCACGGCTCGAACCATAATTTATATAAATCACACAAATATAACTTTATCAGTTATTCAAAATTACTCCAAATAAGATATCATTTTTTCACAAAATTAAAATGGAAAAAGCCATCAAAATGAAAAGAGTGCCGCAAAGCTGAAATTAAAGAAAGTTATCGACACATTTAAGCAAAGAGCTTTCGGTGTCAATTATTATATTTTGACTCCTTTATAAAAATTCCGACTTCACCACTATTATTAGATTACTCTCGTAATTTGTTTCAATTTTAACAAATAATATGTCATATTATATTTTAAAATTATTTATGATTTATCTCAATTGATATTTTAATTTGTTATTCTGACCTCATTATAGTAATTTCATTTTATTTCTTTAAATATCGATATCGTTTTTTAGAAAAAATCACATGTCCACTGCATGTAACTATATATTCTTTCGATGACTTAATAATACAAAAAATAAAAATAACTTATATTAAACAATTTATATAGCATAAGCTCATTAAAAAAAATATTCTAGCTCCACAACATGATTGTAGTTGTTTGTTGAATTGAGCTACCATTATTACAAAAAAAATAAATGGAAAAAAGTAGATAGTAGTTGTGATTTCCAAGTAATTAATATTATAATCATGTTTTACTTTGTGAGTTTGCCTTAATCCTTACGTTATATATAACATGCAAAAAAATTATTATGTACTTTATTATTAATTAATTCGATTCTTTATGTATTTTCTTTGTCATGTTTTCCAAATTTTTATGACTTTTTGACACTATAAAATTGTAATAATTAGTCAATAAAACCTGCTGGGGTGAAAACAATAAAATAAAATAAATCTTAAATTATTGTGATGTGCATAGTAAAATATTTAGTTTTCAAATTGGCCGCCAATATTGCGCATGTGAATAAAGTTAATACATAAAAAGTAAGTAAAAGAAAACTTATTAAGTGTTGAATAGCATTTTTAATAGTGTGAAGCCTTTTGAGAAAGATAGTGTACGTTTGTCTCAAAGAGAAAAATACAAGTGATATTAAGAGTATTTTTGAGATGTTTTATTTTAATCGTTGATATCATAGTCAATGGTTCAACAAGACAAGTACGGAGATGACACTGAAAAATATAGTCTTACGTGCTACTCACACTGAAAATACCATTTTGGTAGGATTTATTGCAATATAATGAAGTTGATTAGTTAGTTATAACGTAACGTAATAATTTTCTTGGGACAAACTTTAGAAGATGAAAATGACGTGTAACAAAATCATGGAATCTTTTTATGTTGGATACAAAATAATTCATGGAATCTAATCAAATATAATACATTGAAAATGAAAGGATTGAAATAGAAAGGCACATGAATATTCCTTTCAAACGCAACTTTTTGTTAACCATTCAATATTTGAAATTTATAATTTTGCATAGCATTTATCATATTAAGGGATTTTTTAAATATTTTTATTTTAGAAAAAGGCAAGAGTAAAGATATAATAGAAACGTAAAATTGTTGTATTTTCAATTCGATCTGTCGATAATCGGACTTTTCATCAAATTTTTTTATTGATGAGCCATGATGTTGCTTGGAAATTAGCGGTATTTTGGTAGTGTTTCTCTTACTAGCTATCAATGACGGTTGCAGTGTGATGTATGAGATCCCTACACCTTTAATCATATGTTTTATGTTCGAGTATTGGGTACGTAAAAAATCTTGTTAGATAGTGTTTTTTCCTTAAATGAACCTTACGTGACGTGAACCCAGATTAATCGAATCCCCAATGACCCTGAGTGAGAAATCAAGAAAAATATGTTATTATTTGAAGATAATTTGTTGAAAGAGACATAAGAGTTTTCTTTTGGGCTACAAAAATTTCACCATGGAAGAGTAGGAATTTTGTGGGCTTTTGGGCTGCTAATGTACATACAAATGGGCTAGGAATTAGTTGTGGGCCTAGTTAATGAAATATAGAAGAAACTAGAGAGTGGGCTATTTAAATCTCTTCCCCCTCCAAAAATTTTCGTCGTAAATCTCTTTTAGAAAACCAAACGTTAATTAGATGACAATCTAATATTTTATTAGTAAGGTTAAACTATGTATAAGCCAACGTTGGACCTTAGTTTAACATTGCTCACGAGATTAATTTTTCAAGAGCTATATTTATATATATTTTTTGAAATATGGATAAAATTAAATGACGAACTTCAAAGAATACTTGATCGTAAATTAACCCTCCCCCTCTTCGTTTTCTTTTTGTTTCTCTATCAGATATTCGACATTCACTTTAGAGTCTGACTAAAATGAATTCTTGTAGGTCGATAAATCTAAATTTGTGCCAGATAATCTCATTTTGAAAAAATAAATGCTTCCTACTAACAATAACTTTATTCATGGAACTCGAATATGAAACATTACCAAACTCAGTGGCGGACCTATGTAGTCACTTATGGGTGCTTAAGCACCCACTACCTTTTGTGTCAACATTCTTATTTATGTACAAAATTTAGAAATGTATTGAAATATATTAACTGGCACCCATTATATGTAGCATTTTTTGAGCTAAAAATAGTTGAGCACCCATGATACAAAATTTCTGAATCAGCCACTGACCAAACTAATTTTAGATACTAAACCAAATTCAAATATAATATCTCATTTGTCCCTTTCATGAAACTTCAAGCACAATTCTGAGCCCAAATAGTAAACTCATATAATTTGACATGACTTTTCATTTTTCAAATATTAAAAGGTTTTCTTGAATATGCACTCCACCTTTTTATGCATCTTACTTCTTTTTTTTAATTTCCCGTCCGATATTCGGTCTGATTAATTTGAATTCGTGTCGAAAAGTCCCACATTGAGAGTAAGCGTTCTCTATCAAAGGTGATGTACCTAGAGAACTCGAGCCTGAAATCTCTAATTAAGAATGAAATAGTACTTATCACTCTACCACGATTCTTATTAGTACTGTTTTATTTGTTGGAAACGGATGACTAAATAAAATTGATAAATATTACAAAACGGTGGCCACGTAGGCGTGATTCATGCTCTACATGACTACATCACATAAAAAATAAATCATCAAAGATTATCAATGTTTATGTATTAATTGAATCAGTAAGTTAAGGGTACAAAATGATTATACATGAAAAAAAATTTGAATATTATAATAGTCTCATACATACAATCATGAATAATAATTCCTCTGTCCCAGTTTATATAATCATATTTAATTGAACGCGATTTGTAAGAAACTAAAAAGACTTGAAAATGTAAATCAAATGCATATAAACTGAAGTTATCTTTTTTATATGAAGTTATTCATTCTTAAAGCTATAATATAAAATCTGTTAAAGAATAAAAGAATCACAATCATCTTACGATAATCTTTGAAGTTGAAAAACTTAAAAAATAGTTTTATATAAGTGTCATCATGCGATGTTTTGTAATATTATTTTTATTGAGTGTTTATCTAACCAAAATCATGCCTCAGAACGTCACTAATGTTTCATCTAGAAGTTTTATTTATTTTAATTAATTAAATAAGTCTTCTTCTTTTATGTCCTGTTGTTGTATCAAATAGATGAGTCTATCAAGTTAGAGAAAGGTTTTCTTTTAAGAAAAAAAAATTCTCTAATATTTGATATTACAGTTTCGATTAAATTGAATTCGCACCACGTAAGATCTATTCAAGAGGAAACCATTTTCTAACAAATCTTTTTTATATACAGCTACATGTAGGGCTCATATTCAAAACCTTTGATTAACGTGAATGAATCTTATCTATTTTAATACAATTTTATCGATTAAAAAGAACAAATTATTTATGCTTCAAGATAGTCAACTAACTACATCATGCATTAAAGTCTCAAACAATTAATTAGGAATCTACTATCTAACTACATCATGCATTAAAGTCTCAAACAATTAATTAGGAATTTATAAAATAATAATAATAAAAATAAAAATGTATCATGCCATTTGAGCCTTGAAGCTGTTTCTTATTATTGTTGGGGACTTAATTTGTCGGTTAGATATGATACTTAAAAATTATGATATGATATTTTGATTTTTATATTGTACTTGTTCAAACGTAACACGATTTGTTTTGTTTTTTTTCAATTTTAAAGTGCTATTCAATAACTTTAATGTATATACAATGGCGGATTCAGGATTTGAAGGTCATGGGTGCTCACTTCTTTTGACGCAAAGTTATTTTCTAAGAAGGATTTTCTTCTCAAAGCTTACTAGTATTTTTATAGTTTAATTAGTAAATGAATATTAAAAATAGAAAAGTGAAAAAATAATAAATTGAAAAAAAGAGAGTAAGCAAATAGCCGTGAAAAGCTATAAAAGAAAGTAAAAATGTAAGAAAAAACTTTCAATTTGCCTTTTTTCAATTAAAATAAAACTTTGGCTGTACTGGGATTCAAACCCTCACACTCAAGGATATAAGCTGTAATGACTAGGTAGGTTATTTTTGAGAATTTTTAACTATTCGTTTAACTTGAGTTAATTAATTGATGGATAATTGTAGATAAATAACTTAATTGATAGTTAATGGGCTAAAGTGATAATTTATTTAAGACCCTATACCATTTAGCCTAATTTAATAAAATACGTGAGTTAAATTTATAACTTTTAGAAGCTATTGCTGCTTTCAATTAATGTTGCTGCACGTGCGTTCTTTGAATTTGGGGGACTAGTTTTAATGGGTAATTGTTTTTAGGTAATTATTGGAATGATTATAAGGTAGTCATAAGGTGATAGTTGGTAGATGATAGTGGGGTGATTGGCTCATATTGAAAATATTGCAAATCTTTCATATAGATTTGAATGATGTTACTGTTCTTTAATTGATATACACGTTAGTCCGTAGGTTAATTTTAGTGTTTCTCCAGATTTTTTTTTTATTATTATTATATTATAATTCGAGTTTCATTATATTAAGATAAGAAAGTAATTATTGGTGTATTATATCATACGAGAACTATTAGGTTGATATTGAAAAAATTGGGACTTAACCCTAGGCTTGAAACTTAAGAACTTGATTTTTGGCTTGGGTGAGTTTTTGGGTCAAGGTTAAACATATAGCAATATGGGTGTTGTTAGTTTTGAAATCTTATTGTGGTCATTAATGTGAATAGATTGCTTTGAGTTGGAAGTACAACGAAAGGGGAAGACTCAAGTCCGAGAGCAAATTCTTGATTGATTGAGGCAAGTGGATTTCTAAACCCTTGTTAAGTGTATTGAATTCGTGTATTTCCTTGTAATAAGTGTTTGGGGTAATGAGACTTGGTGATGGGTTGACTTGTCCACATTGATTAATTGTAATGATGAAAAAGGGGTAATAAAAGACAATGTGATTAATTATTTGTGTGTGATGTGTTTAAAATAGTTTGAAAGACTTCGTTGAAGGACATTTTTCTGATAAAAAAATTAAAAATGGAATAGACCATGGGTAAGGGCGAAGGATGGGGGTCTCGTACCAATGGTGTGACGGGCATTGGTACGAGTACCGGTGTTATAAAGGGAAAGTTTATTCCTATAGAATGCAGATTGTAATTCGAGAATGCCAAAGCATATGGGCATTAGCAGATATATTATTAACTTGATTTATTATGCGTGATTGTGTTCTTTGTTGAACCCATATACTTGTGATAGCTGAGGTGATTACATATCATATTGATATTTGATTTAGATGCATCATCTCTTTTATTGAAATCATATTGTACACATGCATTGACATGAGATTGATGTATAAGTTGGGAACGTGGAGATCGTCCGTGCTGGGAATGGTGAGATGTTAAGATTATATTTTGGGCACGTGGAGATCGTCCGTGCGAAATTTATTTGATTTATGATAGTGCGTTGAGATCGCCCGTACAGACACGTGAAGATCGTCTGTGTCGGTATATGGACCTCGCGAGTCTCCCATGGGTCATGAACTCTAGATGTATTTTTGAGGAGTATCATGTATATACGGTTGAAAAGTACTTGGTATTCTGAGGCATATCATTTCATAGTTTCATATTGCATTGCATCCCATGACATCCTTCATTCTTGATTATTATGTGTTTTATTGGTGGTTGGAAAGCACTTGATATTTGATTACCTCTACTTGATGAACTTGATCTTGTGAGTGCCTTTTTGTGGAAGTTGTGATTGATGAATATTGAGTTTGTTGTTGAGGATATGTAATTTGTTAAAGTGATTGCTGTTGAGCTGGGTGCTATGTAAATTGTGAACTGGTAGGTTGAGCTGGTTTTATGCAGGTTGTAGTTGTGGAGGCTCGGTTGGTGTGTAAAGAGTACCCGTATTCTATCCCCTTAGCTTGTGTTTAGAGGTTTACTTACTGAGTACCGTGTGGTTTGGTACTTACCCCTTGCTTCTATAATTTTTGTAGGTTATGAACCTAGATTTTTGTGTACTTTTCACCCTATTCTTTTCTGAGGCTTCTTATGGAGGTTTGTGAGGTAGTTGCTTGTAATTTCAGCGGACCTTCTTACTCCTATTTATGATCTTGTTCTATTCTAGAAACTATGTCATTTGAGACTTGTGTTTTTTCTTATGAATCAATTGTAATACTTTAAGGCTTGTACACATGACAACCAAATTTTGGGGTATTTTTGAGTTTATTATAAAATTTCTGCATTTTATCGTAATGGCTGAGCTTTAGGCTGACTTGTCTTGGTGGGATAAGACGAGTGTCATCACGTCCATTTTTTGTTCGTGACATAAGCACATTGAGGGAATTGTACGTATAGAGATTCAAAAAAGTATCGATTAGATTCAGGTCATATTTTTATGGAATTCACAAAATTATTAATAGAAAGTCAATCGCGCAGAATTGAAGAATTACAAATGACCTTATAAAAAGAATTCTATTGTATAAATCAAAATCTGAATATTGCTGTCATTTAAGAATTGCAAAATCTTACGGAAACCTTGCAGAATTTATAGCTAGACAAGTAAAGAATAGAGTTTCATTTCAAAGAGTAATGAAAAAGTTTGAAAGTTCAAGAACTTTTTTTTAAAAATAGAATCAATTAATTTTAACGAGTTCTTAACTTTCACGAAAGATTTTTATAAACGTCCTTCTATAGATATGAAATATAGAATAAAAAAACTTTAACTTCATCTTGAGAATCAAAACACCCATCAACCGTTTTGGCTAATAGGTTCTCATGAATACATTATTTTAATTTTTAATTTTTTCTATATACATATACACAGTCTCCGTCAGAATCAATGGGTGCTCAAGCACCCGATACTGTATACATTATATATATATATATCCTTAACGAAATTCTTATAAAGAAACTACAAATAACAAGACCATATACCTGTATTAATTTAGACCAATTTCCAAATATCCTTTTTCAACTTCGACTTCAATCACTTTTTTTCTTTTCAAAATTCAACCAAATCATACCCAAATGACTATACAATATACTTCCTGTATATCTTTACGGTACAAAATTTTCACCAAATAAAAATATCTTGATATGTTCACATGATTTGATTTTGGTAGTGTTATTCGATAACTTTGATATACATATATCTTAAATACCTTTAACAAAATTTCTAATTTCGTCAAAATAAAGAAACTAAAATAACAAGATCACATAGATGATGAACTTTGTATTAATTAATTTCATCTAGGACTAGTCCCCAACTAGTGCCATTACACAAAGCACACAACACATGTTACATGTTAAGTCAAATCCAACTTTCAAATACCCTTTTTCAACTTCGACTTCAATCACTCTTTTTTTCTTCAGAATTCAACTAAATCATATCTGAACGTCTATATTTCTCCGTACATCGTTATACTTCAAATTTTTCACCAAGTAAAAATGTTTTGATAAGTTTATCTCCCATTCCATCAGCATAAGGAAATAAATGACCACCACCTTTAATTTCATGATATTGAATCCATGGTAATTTTTGTGCAATATATCTTTGTAATATAACAGGTACAAGTCCATCTTCATCACCTTGCCATAAATGAACAGATCCTTCATTTTTATCAAATGGATTTTTTAAATCCATTGGATCAAATTCCCATGTACCAAATCCAATATTTGTATCTCTATGGAGTGATTCAAATTCCCCTTGTTGTCTAATTTGTGCCTGAAAAGGAATGGATTAATTAACAAATAAGTTACACTCAAATAAATTAATATTAATATTAAAAAAAGAATTGAAATGTCGAGGGGGGTTCGGATCTAAAATTTGAGGTTATTTGGGAAAACATTGAGCTAGTTTTGAATTGAATTTCAGTTCTAATTTGTTAGAGTTCGAAGTAAAGTCGTGTATTGTGAGGGGAAAGAAATGTCACCCAATTTTACTAGATCCTCGTAACCTCCTACCAGTATATGTACGAGATAACTTAGCCCATCAAAACTTGGACAGAAGAGAAAAGATAACCTAATATTTTTTTGACACGGAAATTTTGTAAAAATCATTAATATTTCAATGCCCATTTGTTTTATTTTACGTGACATTATTTCCTCTTTAATAAGTTCCAATTAGAAAGAATGACCCCTTTTGTAAAATATTTTATCTTTAAATTTGTCATTCTTTTTATCCTTCATTACATAATTTTTTAACCACACAAATATCATGACAAGTACCAAAAATCTTCTCTCCTAATCTTCGCGCCCAACCAGATAGATTCACCTAAAAATGGAATCAAGGGAGTAATGAACCCCAATCACAACATTTCAAAAATATAACGAGTTCAATGGTAAGAACATAAAGATTAAACCTATCAAACTAAAATCTTGAATCTACATCTATGCCAATAATTTGACGAAAGTCAATCACTCTTTCCTAACCTCCGTACCCAGTCAAACAAACACCTAAACTCAACAAAAGGAAGTACCAAACCTCCAAACCCATAATTTTTTTTATTTTAAAAAAAAAAAGACAAACGTAACGAGTAAGTACTAAAATTATAAAAATTGAATAGCATAACGAGTCAAGTTTAAATCCTGAATCCACAAATAATACTTACCCTGTATTTTTCTTGTGAGCCATCAAATCTTGGTCCTAATTGCATATCTTGAGTTTTAAAAATACCAGGGCTATGAGCTGCAACACTAGAAGATGAAAAATATTTTTGAGTGTTCCACCAATATGTTAACCATGGAAGATAATGAGCAACTCTAAGTGTCCATTGATCAGGCAAAAGTTGATCATAATATGATTTTGTTGACAAATTTGATGGGAAACTAGGCCACCAATAGTTAACCACAGGTGTTAGAAGTGCTGCTCCTGCCAATCTGTTACAACACGAGTTTACGTTATGTTATATACACTGACAATATAAAAAAATAAAAAATTCTACACTAACTCTTGTTCAGACTCTTCAAAAATGTTGACTGGTGTATGATGGAAAGTAGTGCAGTACTTTTGGAGGATCTGACATAGTTGTGACAACAATTTTAGAGAGTTGTTACAAGTTGAATTTTGTTTTAGTGAATTTTATCCGGGAGAAGGTGGGAGTGGCCTCTGTGGTGGACAAGTTGAGGGAAGCGAGACTGAGATGGTTTGGACATGTGAAGAGACGGAGCGCAGACGCCCCAGTGAGGAGGTGCGAGGTAATGGTGGTAGAGGGTACGCGGAGGGGTAGAGGTAGGCCCAAGAAGTATTGGGAGGAGGTGATTAGACAAGACTTGGCTATGCTTCACATTACCGAGGACATGACTCTAGATAGGAAGGAGTGGAGGTCACGTATTAAGGTTGTAGGTTAGTAGGGCTAGCGTGTTGTCTTCCCTTGCAAGGGTATGGGTTGTTAGCGGTTGGAGTAGACCTAGCCTTATGATGTTTACTGCGTTTCACGCATCGCATTACTTTCTTGTTGTTACTGTCTCATTTGTTGATTATACGCTATTGTTTGTATTGACTGTTATGTTTTATATATATCTCTCCTGTCACTTAGATTTGTTGTTCCTGAGCTGAGGGTCTCCCGGAAACAGCCTCTCTACCTCCACGAGGTAGTGGCAAGGTCTGCGTACAATTTACCCTCCCCAGACCCCACCTAGTGGGATCTCACTGGGCATGTTGTTGTTTGTTGTTGAATTTTAACGCGTGATAGCATGTCAATTACCGTTTTTACCAAATTACTTATACATATTTTTTAAACCGTTAGTGCATCAACAATAAAAGGCAAAAGAAATGCAACAACAACATCCTATCTAGTATGATTCCACAAGTAGGGTCTGAGGAAGGTGGTAGACGTACGTAAAACTTACTTCTACCTTTGTGTGAGATAGAGAGACTGTTTTCGATAAACGACCCTCAACTCAAGAAAAGTGAATAAAATGATCAATACCTGTGAGGAATATATTTGAGACATCCCCAAACTACTTGTCCACCCATGGAAAATCCAACAACATAGAATTTGGATCCCAATTCCAATTGATCTGCTAATTCTTCAATATCAAGAGCTAAACTCTTTGGTGTTCTTTGTGGATGAGGATCACTTTCACCATAACCAGGTCTATCAATTGACACAATATATATTCCCAAACTCTCAATAACATCCTGCACCACAACATATCATTGTAGCAGTGTCAGAGTCAGAAATTTATATAAAAGGGGAGTACGTTGCTCGAATTTTCCGAAAATATTATCGCACCCGTATCAGATCTACAATACATTTGGAGGATTTAACACACCTCCGACTATAATTTTTTGAAAAATTCAAGCAACATAGGAAGGGGAATTTAGAAAGAAACTACAATAACTTGTGACCAAACTTAAAATATTGAACCCCCTTTGTCATTATACAGTGATTCAACAGTTTATATATATATGTAAAAAAAATCATTTTTTTTCTTTTATCTGCACGATTGAACCCCCTAATTCCTACCTTGCTCTGCCCTCCTAAAAAAATTGAGAGAAAAGAGTTCGAATAAACCCTCTTCCACCCTTCAAACTCCGTTCCTGCCTACGACAAGCAATGACAGAGCTAGGAATTTATATGTCATGATACCTAGTATTTGAACTTGTGACCAAAATCAATTTTTGTCAATACACTAGAATTTATTTTTTCATAGCAAGAAAATTCAACCGTTCATATTGACCGATAAAACTCATTTTTCTCTATCCTTGAAAAAAATAATTGACGTATGAGGTTAAATAGTCTTACCTAGCTCTGCCCTTGCCTAAAAAAATTGAAAAGAAGGGTAAAGAGGGAATTACATGAGAAAGAGTGGTGGCAATAACAACGTCATGTCTACAACTATCAAATCCATGGATGAACACAATTTTGTACTTTGCTTCATTTTTCGAAACACCTTGCTCTTTATACGCCAAATGCCTTCCATCGGAGAGTTTTATTCGTGGTGCAGTGATGGGATTGCCACCGGGGGAACCACAAAATTTCGGAGGAGGTGGTGTAATTGCTTGATAAACATATGCCAACAATCCAATCAAGAAAAGTACAAGAATTTTCCTAGTCATACCTGAAATGGTTACAAATTTAGTAACTAATTTTTAGAGCTAAAAATCAAGAAAACAAGTTAAAATTGTCATGAACAATGCATAAATAAGAATAATTAAAAAAAAGAATGAAACAATTCGAACAAGATTGCAGCGAATTGAATGAATGACAGTTATAAATGTTTTACCTACCTCCAGTATAACTATTTTTGACATTGGCATTAAAGACGTGTGATCGAGTGATCAATAAAGTAAATCAGACGAAAAAGATAAAAATAAAAAGATGATTTCTTTCCATCTCACTAATTAAATGTTGGAGATCAAAGTTATTCATAATCGAGAGATAGTAGGTAACTCATAGAATAGTCTAGGTGTTCAAAGTGACCGTTACTAAAAATAAATAACAAGAAGAATTTTGTGCATTTACTATAAGGTGATTTTTTTATCACCTTGCTCGCATCTCGACTATCAGTTACCTCATGACATAAGTATTGAGTAACTCTGACAATTACTAAGATCTAGACATATGAAAAGATATTGACTTTTAACATATTTTTGTCTCTACTAAAATTTTAAACCTCGAGTTCTCGTAATTTTCACTCATTTCATTAACCGCTAGACTCTTTCCTTTGAAGCAAATTAAGGGATGCAACACAAGACCTTCCTCTTATTAACTCAAACATATTGTAACCAACAACTAAAGTAAATAAAAAAGAAATCACAAGTTTTTTTCCACATAAAAATGCTTAGACTATGTTTCTCCAATAAAAATATAGCAGCATTTCAAATATATATGAAGAAAAAAATAAGAAAAAAAATGAAGAAGAAAGAACCTGAGGTAGTAGGGGACTCTGCCATTTTTGTGAACTTAGTGAAATAATAGTGGTGACTCTTGTAGATGCCCTTGTTTTATAGGAGTTATAAAAGATCTAGAAGAGAGAAGAGCTACATAGTTGGACTAATAGACAGGTTCGTGACGGATTCAGAATTTTGACTTTATAAATTCTTCTTTTTAAGAGTTTTTAATATATTTTTAAATTTTATAATATTTTTCTTGTTCAAATTTATGATTGAACTTAGGTTGTTTGACTCTCAAAATCTGAATAGCGGCATATAAATTGAATAGAGGGAGTGATTATTTTTAAATACAGAAAAATATCTTTCTTTTTTAGACAAAATAACAAGGTAAGTGTATCACACAAATCAGGATAGGAGTAATTGTTACTCCCTCATTTTCCCCAAATTTATGTGATATTATATCTAAAATATGTCTCAAATAGAATAATATATTTTCATATTTAAAAATTATTTAATTTTAAAATTCTCATTATAGCTATAATGTATCTTTCTCTTATCTTAATAAAGCATGTATTTTAAAAGTTGTTTTTAAGTAAACTTTATATATGTTTAATCAAATATTATCATATTTATTAGAATAAAAAAATATATTTATTCCTAATTTTGAATAAAAATATATATTTTATATTACTGAATTTAAATACCGAAGCCGTCCCTAATAAATACAAGGTCAACTTATTATACACTTGTAAGTTGTAACCCCATGTGCACTATGCCGTTGGTTCACCTAGGAATATAAGAGGGTGATAATATCAATGTATACCTTTTATTGATAAGTAACGTTAAATGGTCAAAAAAAATTGATCAGAATTTGCTCAGAAATTTAAAAAATTTATAATATTATTTTTATTTTAAAACAAATTAATCTTTTTTTATTTTTTAATTAAAATGTATTAAAGTTAAAAGGGTAAAAATATTCTAAAAGGTAAAATAATATAGTGTGAAATATTTTATTTATCATTCTGACCAAAAGGATTTTTCCTTTATTTATTTATTTATTTATTATGTTTTAATTTATGTATTTTACTTTTTATTTTAAGTGAATTAATATTTTTCTGTGTCAATTTATATAGGCAAACGTCGAAGTTTTGCACCACAATTCATATTGGTCACATGATATGTTAAAATCATAAGATTCAAATAATGTTTTAATATGTTATAGGTATTTTTAAATTGAGATTATAAAATTTTAAAACTCTTTTTTTTTTAAAAAAAAATAATAATAATAATTGATCACGTCACAAATAACATTAAATAAAATGGGGACTACTTGTTATATGGACCACTTGGCCTTGGAAAAATTTGTACTAATCAAATTAAAAAATTCTTCATCACGCAAATTGAGATATTAATTTAATGATGAATACTTAAATGAAATTTAGATGTCTAATAGTAATTAAATGAAATGTAGATGTATAAGCAATAAATAGTTTTATGTATACATGTCAACGAAAAATTAGAGTTAACTATATAAATCTTTAATATTCATCGATTATATTAATCATATTTGAACTAAATTAATTTGTGTTAGAAATCATTTTTTCGTTTAACATAATAAATGTGTCACATATTTTGAAGTATTTTGGGAGTACTTTTCATTCAACGTGTTTTACATTTTATAAAGGATCACAAAAATTCAAAAAATATTTTATTTTTTCCATTATTCTTGACTTCATTTTCATTCAAACCATAGAGAGATTAACATGCTTTGGAGATATGATTGTGAAACACGTTAAACGAAAAGGTAATAGGATTTGTGAGTTGTGACTGATAAAATTAACCCATGAAACACAACATAAGGTTAACTTATCGGATCAATAATTTATTTATTTATTAACTCAATTCTTTTAAAAAAAATATTAACTAAAATTTATAAAATTTGATCTCGATAATAAATAAGTAGCACATAAATTAAAACATATTAAATTTGACCAACACCATGTGCACTCTGCCCTTTGGTTACCAAAGAAGATCCACTTTTAGATAGGAAATCTTATTTAATGCATTACTCTTGAGAATGAAGAAGAATGTACTCTCAAAGGACCCATCAAATCAGTTTTTGATTTAGCGGTTTTGGTAATAGTTTTAATTATTTTTATTATCAGATTATCGATTTTTAATGGTTTTGAGATTTTTCTTAATGAGTTAATTGATTTCTCAATAGTAAATTAATAAATTATATCTATGTCATTCAGTATATAAAGTCTTTGATTAAGAGTTTAGTTTCATACTTTTATTTTTTTGTAGTCTCTCAAGTTCTTAATTATTCTACAATGTGTCAGTATTTGCTTTTGAGCAAGATGCAATCTCTCAACTACTCTTGTGCATTGTTCATTTGGTTTTCCATCTTATTTCTAAGCGATTTTAATGATTTTTTTTATGTCAAATCTGAACGGTTAAATCAACAACAATCGATAGCAATGGCCGATAAATCAATATCTTAATGATTGTATAGCAATTTAATAACCGCTAAATCAAATCAATAAACTATAAAATCAAAATAAACCGACCGAAAGAGACAGAAGTCTCATTGTTCGTGATGTTGCAATGAATTCATTGGATGATAATAGCGTATAAAGATTTTATTTCTACTTCCTCCCCCAGGCGGAGTGTTTCACGCGTTAGCTAGGCCCATTGCTCTAGTAAAAAATAATATATTACTAGTAATTGTTATTCAAAAATGTCAAATATTTCTATGTTATATGAAGACGTCTCTATGGAAATGATTAAACTTTATATTGATTATTTAATAGCTTTGGACCGGCATCTCTAAGCCGCCACTTCAAGACTTTTGGTTTCACTATTTTATTTTTTGAATTTTAACTCAAAAGATGGTTCAATTGTACTCGGTGTTTAATGTTTATATTAAAGTTTGATTAAATTTTGATTTGTGCTAAGAAGTTTCACGTTAAGGAATAAAGTGCTCTCTAATAAATATAGCTCTATATATGAAAAGAAACGAATTCGAGACTTTTGATTAAAAATAAAAGAATACTTACCACTTTATCACAATCTGTATAGCCTGAAATTAGATTTATCTCAAGTCAAATATGCTTTTTACCTCTTTTTCATTTTGTCTTTAATTATGTTTCTTTTTTTCAATGCTTTCTACTTTCTAGACGTTTTCTGACATTTACACGTGATTATTTTACACAATATGTGATTAAAAAAAGTAACGGAAAATATAATTGGCAAGACAGATTTTTGACACGAAATGACACGAGCAACAAAAGTCAGAGTATTTTCGTAATTTCGGTGAAAAGTTAAGGGTGTTTAGGTAAATTCAATTATTTCGTATACCTAAATTACCCTCAAAAGTAAAACCACTTGTAATACTTTTAAAACCACAACTTTTGAAATATCCATGAGGCACAAATATGATGTGACAGATAAAAATTGTATAAGGCCCATTTATATTTTGCCAAGTGGATCCATTTCAAATGGCCAAACATCTTTCTCTCTTTACCTTTTAACGTTTTCTTTTTCTCTTTCTTACTTTTTTTACTTCAGTTTCTTTTCTATCAATTCTTCCAAATTTTATACTTCCACTTAAATAACTTTATTCATGAAAAATATGAAATCCAAAAAAATTTGCCGGACTCATTCTATTTCTAACATTTTGATATTATTTTTTATCTCGATATTGATTATTTATATTATTAAAAATAGTTATATAAAATTATTTGTTTAGTTACAAAGATAAAATTAATAATAAAAAAAGTTAACCAAATAAATTTGTGAAAGCACAAAATAATAGTAGTATGAATAAATGTTTTTTACACTGAGAGGTAGAACTAAAAAAAAAAAAAGCTTTAGAAGATGCAAAGATAAAATGAAAAATGGATTTTTGCATTGAAAAAAGATGAAGAACGAAAAATTTTATTAATATTAAACATTAAAAACATTAAGTGGTAATAGAATAAATAAAAATAAAAATATATTTGGCAATTAAAAATTGAGTGATTAAAATTGAAATCTCAAAAAATAAATTTTTGACTAAAATTTAAATAGTTAAAATAATTGAGTGATTTTTTACTTTATTGGTGAGAGTTCAATTTATTTTTTTTAATTTCACTATCTTCAATTTCTTTGAATTCATCCAAGAAAAATTAAAAAATTTCTAACATATCACTTTAATTTTCCCTCAAATAAATGATATATATATATATTATTTTTATTTTTTTTCTAACATATCACTTTAATTTCATACTTTATTGAGTTTTTTCATTTTTTTTTTGGGTAAGGTTTACTTCTATTTCTACCAAATTTGGGTCTCCATACGTTGTCATTTTAAAAAGTGTTTTTTTTGTTTCCTTTTCGTTCATAATTTTAATTTGGAATAATAAATCAACGACAAATCCGAGTTGATTAAACTACCTTTGTTCAAATATATCAATCTTCTATATATTGTAGTTGACAAGAATGTGCAAGTTTGACCATTTGACTTGAATATAGGCGGTAAATATAGCCGCGAGGGGTTAAAGACAATTGGCGAAATGAAAGTCACTCAAAAACAAAGAGCGATAACAAGGCAGTATCAACATAGATTTAAAGATATTTTATCCTATTTTTTTCAGTTATTTGATTTAGTGGACTATAATAAACTACCACGTTGTTGCACTATTAAGCATGTTCCTCTTGTTCGCAAGAATGGGATAGTGCAGAGGATGAAGAAGAAGAGCACTGCTATGGATGTACCAGTGATGAAGAAATTTGACATCTCCGACATAATTATTACATGTTCAAGATAATTGGATTAGTATGAACTATATTATCGTTATTGTTATTATTGATTTGTCATATATATACTAGATATAGGACCCCGTGCCAGCACGGAGCCCAATATATATTATTTTTTAATTTTAATTTATGTCATATTATAAAATTTGAGAAATTATTGAAATTTTTATATGATTATAAAAATATTTTAAATTTTTAGCTATTGTGATTTGTAGTACTTTTTTTTAACATAATTTTGAAAACATTATTTATTACTTTGTTTGTTCTAATTTATGTGGCACACGCAGAATTTCAAATATTAACTATTTTTTATATGTCTCTTTAATATATTAAGT